GTATAATATTTTAGTGTAACAAAGTTGGCCAATAGAAATTTAGATGAAATTTTTCATAGAAATGAGCAAGCACGTGACAAACCTATAGATGGTTATTATACAATTATTATATGGTATAATAATACCACAATTTTAATTATACCGTATAATTCCCATCTCTAATAATCAACAATCAAATAGAAAAAAGGGACCAAATTAGCAAAAAATAAGTTTGGCTATACTGTAAAATTTTTAATAAAACAGTAAATTATTCCTTAAGTGAAAATGTTTTTGGAATTAGTTAGAAAAGATTGTTGATTTGGTCCCTTTTTCATATCTAGTTATGCTGATGGGCCAATAAAACTGTGCATCTAATTTCTCCACTTAAACCAATGGTAATATTGAGCTCGAGAAATTTTGGTTGCATTGTCCCTATTTCTCAGATTTTCACAAAATCTCGGATTTTGTAATAGATCAAGGAAGTAAAGAGCATGCGGGTAGCTGAATAAATATTTTATGTCACTATGAAACTGCTAAATGCTGAATCAGAAATACTTGAATCAAGATAATTAAGATGTTATTACTTACATTATGAATTTTGCATATTCGGGACGCTGCCAATATTTCAAATACTTTAAATAGTTAAGGAATGCAGGATCCTGAAAGAAGCCTCTTTGCGCAAGATCTAATTTGTGGCATCGTATAAAAAAAAGAGCTTGAGCACGATTCATTGACCAAACGTAGCTTTGAAACATGAATGACGTGGATTTTTCAATACAAACTATTGAGATACCACGGATTGGCCAGACATTGAACAAACTCCAATTCTATTTGGAAACGTTTATCATTTTCTGCGTCTGTTGTTGAGGTAGGACTTTGAGGTTTGTCGATAGGTGTGGAATGATCTGACATATTATATTGTTGTGTCTCTGAAGAACATTAAGTCTTAATGTAACGGTAATAAGCTATTTATATCGTACCACTGAACATTATGCATTTTGCAAATCTGACATCTAATCCGATAAAATTTTTTCATCTAACAGCCACGATACACATGAAATTTATTTATTGATTTCGCCTAATAACTACATATAGCCTTTTATTTTTTTATAATTTCATTTTTTATTGATGTTCGTCTTTTCGTCAGGGGGTTTCGTCTTTCGCAGAGGTTTTGTCAGGGGTTTTGGCTTGCGCAGAAATTTCGCCAACTTTGTCTTTCAGGAGGTTAGGATTCATCTTTCGTAAAAAGTAATTATGACCTTATGGAGAAATATGTAATTTAACTTCTTCTTTCGATCATTATGTGATTATATGATATTCATTAGAAGAGTACAAAGGTTATCGTGGCAACATCTTTAACGGCAGCGGTCACGGGCATCGGTTTTATTTTTCGCTAATATTTAACTTCTTCCCCGATCCTTATGTGATTATATGCTATCCATTAGAATACAAAGGTTATTTTGGCGACATCTTTAGCGGCAGCGGTCACGGGCATCGGCTTTTACTTTTTCGTTAATCCTATTCATGCTAACGAGGCCGAGGAAGGTCTCCATCCACCAGAGTATCCTTGGTCTCATAAAGGTCCGTTTAGTACTTTTGATCATGCCAGGTGAGAGATGCTATATCTAAAGATATTGTCAGCGTGAAGGAAGGTCGTTTAGGAGGTTATTCTATCAATAAGTATATATCTGGCTGTGTTTAAAAGACAGAAAAGTATCAACGATTTATATCTTTGAATGATCATATAAGTGCTAGTTTAAAAAAAAAAAAAAAAACTTATATAAGGACAAAAGTCGATGATTTATCATTTTAATACAATCTTGGATTCAACAAAAATTAAAGCATTCGTCGTGGGTATCAGGTCTACAGAGAAGTTTGTTCCGCGTGTCATTCACTCGATCGCATCGCATGGCGTAATTTGGTTGGCGTATCACACACCTCAGATGAAGTAAAAGCAATGGCCGAAGAAGTGGAATACACGGACGGACCAAACGACCAAGGTGAATATTTCCAACGACCTGGAAGGCTTTCTGATTATATGCCACGTCCGTATCCTAACGACGAAGCTGCTCGTGCGAACAATGCTGGAGCTCTTCCCCCCGACCTTTCTTTAATGGTTAAGGCACGCCATGGCGGTGCTGTGCGTATTGTTATGCAATTTTATTTGCATTAATTGAATACATAATAGTAATTCTACTCATACTACTAATACATGTTCGAATACAGGATTATTTATTTTCGATTTTAACTGGTTATATGGAAGCGCCAGCTGGTGTCGAAATTCGCGATGGTTTATACTATAATCCCTATTTCCCTGGTGGTGCAATTTCCATGGCAAGGGCTTTATTTGACGGATTAGTCGAATACGAAGATGGTACATTATAATTATTAGTATCATTTGCTCTTATCCTCATAACTGAAATCGTATACTATGATTCCATTAGGTACTCCTGCAACTACATCTCAGATGGCCAAGGATGTTACAACATTTCTTTCATGGGCTGCGGAGCCTGAACACGATGATCGTAAAAAAATGGGAGTCAAAGCAATTATCATCATATCAATTTTGACCGCTTTTTCGGTTTGGTTAAAACGAAACAGGTTTTCAGTCTTAAAGTCAAGGAAGATTGTGTACGTATTTAATTAACTTTTGTGAAACGAAACATTCGTATGCACGCTTGATTCTAAAATTTTTTTATTATTCAGATACGCACCGCCTCATTAGAAAAAAAAAAAACAAAATAAAAAATAAAATAAAATAAATAAAATGAATAAAAAAATAAAATAATTATTATATATTCTGAGACACGAATGAATAATTCAGATTCTGAATAAAATTATCACCATAGCGCTGTTTCTATTTCAAAGTCAATAGTTCTTATTACTATTATTGTTTGTCACGGATAAGTTCTTAAGAAATCTTTAAAAAACATTTCGCTGACATATAAAATTTTTTTAAAATAATTAATTTTTTTTAAAAAAATTTTATATATTAGCAAAATATTTTTTAAAAATTTCTCAAGAACCACCAGACCAATCTTAACCTTATTACTACCATTAGAAACATCTTGATAATTTACTTAGTTTTAGTTTGAAGTGCTTTACATTTAACTTAATAGTAAAATTTATTTATAAAAATTTGCAGATTCTTTTTAGATAACAGATAGATTGTCTATTAAACCATCTAAATTATGCTTTAAAAAACTTTGTTAGCTTATTTTAAAAGAACTAACTAAATAGTATTTAAATTTTAGCAACTTATATACTAGATAAATAAGATATGAATAATTACAACTTATATTATACAAGACAAATATTTATATAGTTTAAAACATTGTTTAAGAATATAATAACAAAGTTTATATTATGTAAATATTTAACAATTTTGTTTTATTTTCTTTTTTTATAAAGTGTCCTTAGGACT